CTTGACCAGATGTCCTATACCACCATGTGCATCAAGGAGGCCCTGAGGCTCTATCCACCAGTTCCATTGGTTGGCAGAGAGCTCAGCAAACCTGTTACCTTCCCTGATGGAAAATCTTTACCCAAAGGTATAACCTTTCCAGGATCACCTAAGTTCTCCTCAAGGATAGGGAAGAATTAGGAAATTCATGTGTGGTTCAGCAGTTCTGAATCTGGCTGGGTCTTTCTTTATTGTCAATAAATGAATGCTTCTTACTTATAGAGTACATTTTTCTTATGTAGAACATAAGCCTACATGAACTATACAGCTCCTTCTAATACTGTCTATTCACATGGTTACCACCCTACACTACTCCTGTTCTTCAGCTGACATTCGTTCTTCTTTAGAATGCACAGTCTTGCAATGTTGCAGTTAATTGCAGTTTGGTGATAGTGACATTCTTTGATTCTAACACTCTAGGCTCCAATTCTAGATGACATGTATGACCATATTTGTCCCTTTGATTGCCAGGAATCTCAAAGGGTAGATTTTTCTCACATCTTTTTTACATCTTCTATATTTGATATAATATATTGCATAATTGAGTAAAAAACTATATGTATTAATAAATGTAATGCGATTTATCCTGTGGGAATTTCCCCACAGAGAAATATTAACTTTTAGATTTTGGCCTCTAAAATTCTAACACCCTAAAATGTAGAGGATGATGAGAGAAACAGATAGGGGCTAAGGAGACGTGGTTCTTATGCGGAGTCAAGACAAATGAGCAGTGAATTCTATGCCATTGGTCAGCTATGGTCCAGTCCTTGAGGAGCACTCATGTTGAAGGCAGAAAGCAGCTGATAGCCAGATCTAAGAACCCTGCTATGGTAGCAAACGACTTGTTGGTTCACCCTCCACTAAACGTGAGTCCCAGTCCTGCCACATCCTACCTGCGCAATAGCTGACAATTCCTCTCTGAAATGTAGTTACCTTATCTGAAAAATGGGGCTATATCAGTGCTTTCTCTGGAGGGTTGTTATGAGGACTAAATGAATTAATGTATGCTCCTCAGTGAAAATCCTTTATCAACAAAAGTTCTCATTTGATTTATAACAAAAAGGAAAGTCCAATTCTTTCTTGCATCTCTCTTAAAGTCATAGTTTTCTGTTCTTCACCTGTGTTCAGGTAGTTTATTTACCAAGTCCACCCATATCTTTAGCAACAAGATCACTTTGCTCAAAATGATGATTTGTGGCATTCGGACCTTTTGTGCATGTCTATCTCCTACTGGCAGAGGGACCAGGAACTGACATCATGTGCATAATCAGTCTTTTCTCTGTCTTCCTCTGTCCCCCAGGTATTAACGTCATACTCTCTTTTCATGGCCTTCACCATAACCCGAAGGTGTGGCCAAATCCTGAGGTATGATGTCCCTGAGAGGAAAAGAGGGAAGGGAAGGAGGTGATTCCTCAGGAACCCCTCCTCCTTCTCTTTCCTCTGGGCTTCCTGTCCCCTCTTGGTTTGGAACAAGGGACTTAGCCCCTACCTGTGCAGACACTGGTTCTCTTTCTGCAGATATTTGACCCTTCCCGATTTGCACCTGATTCTTCCAGACACAGCCACTCATTCCTGCCCTTCTCAGGAGGACCAAGGTGAGGTGTCCTGTGTTGGTAATTTGGTAATAGGGGATGAGGCTACTTTCCTGTAGCAAACCCTGCTACCTCCTATGCTCACATAGGGCCTCTTCTAATATACCCTTCTTTGTTGGTGTTATGGAAAGAAGCCTTGTGCGGATACATCTCTGCACATAAGAAATAGAACATTTCGGGGCACACCACAGAGACCTTGGCCCAATGGCCAGGTCAAATCCCAGTGTCAGTAGACATTACACATTCCAGTGTGTCCTGCTGCTTTCCTCAATTTAGAAGTATGATGTTAGGAATTAGAAATGTTTGTGTATGTCTGACTTCAGATGACGTGCTTTTTGACTGCCAGGAATCTCCAAGGGTAGATTTTTCTCACACATTTGCAATCCAGCCACCACTCTTTCTATTGATTCATTTTTTCTCAAGTCACTGCAGCAAGTGATTAGTTTGCCTGGATTCACTTTCTGGGTGCCTGCTATCTGCCACCTCTTTAGTCATATTTTGAAAATTTACAGTAAGCCATCAAAGAAAGTTTCACAGCACATTTTCAGTCTCTCCCAAAGTAATTTTTGACTGCGTTTCAATGTTCACATTCTTCTTACTTTTCCAGTTGTCAAAATGGGATAGATGAAGTCCAGTGTAAATACTTTGAAATTACGCTTAGATCCAACATAGTTCCACTTTGGATTTTTAAAAAAAAAGCATTAAAATGAGAACAGTAAACTTCCTTTGAGAGAAATCTACTATTTTGTATATACTGCATGTCACTGGACAGGTTCCTGGTGTGTAAAATATAAAACACAATTGAAGTAGCTGCTGAGCTGGACAAGAACACCCCAAAAGGGCTTCTTTTACCCTCAAAGCCCATGAGACTTGCCCAGTAGGATGTAACTTACTATAATGTTTATAAAGAAGTGGTAGAAACAGGCTTTTCTCAGTCAGTATTTTTATGAATTCTTCAAATTCAAAGTAAAACAACTTTCCTAGAACCAGCTTCAAGGAACTTGCCTTTGCAAAAATAGACTTTCTAGAATTTGATTTTTGTTCTAAGACAGTACCTCCTTGTACACTGACTATAAGTCATATTGCTGCCACTAGAGGACAGGAGAATACGAGGTAGCTCAATTTTTAGGTAAATTTCTTATATTATTTTAAAATCAATTAAATTGAATTTCTTAACTCTTGTGAAGTTAATTAACTTAACTCAACTATAAAGTAAGGCCTTACATCAGCCTCTATGTGCCAAGTCCTATACTGGGTTATAAAATTAAAGATATCATTCCTCTCTCCAAGTGTTCAGTCAAGGGCAAATATGTGCTCTACAGAAAGAAGTAGCCATGCTTAAGGAAGACATCCTTCCTTCCTTTATTCTTTCACTCTCAGTGGGATGGTCCACATTCCCAGCACTGTCTCAGTCTCTGGGTTGAGTAAAGTACCAGTGGTATCACTGCGACCCCAGGAAGGAAAGGGACAGTGGAGCAGGGATGAGGACCAGCTGGTCATTTGTCTGGGCCTTAAGGAATTACAGGCAGAGATGGAAGAAGAACATGTTTGTGATGTGAGCTAGAACATGGGATCACATAGGTAGGAGGTGAGAGAGACAGCAGACATAGAAGATGTGGATGCACCATCCTGCTTAAGGAAAGACATGGAAGTATCAGTGTGGAAGAAGGGAAAGCACAGACACAAGAGAAATCTGGGACAAAAACACTGAAGAAACAAGCAGGGACATTTCTGAGATGAATTTAGAAGGATACAGATTGGTGGCCTGGGGTGGGAGAGGGAAGTAGGTGCCTGACCACTGAGTGGGATCCCCAACCTGACCCCCCTTTGGTTCCTTATTAACACTTGGCTCCTGTCAGTGAACTTTCTTGAATCTCTAAATGCAATGAACTAACCAACAGTTAACGCTTTAAATGACTCAAGGGATCAGACTGCCCCTCTGGCTCTGTCCTAAAAGAGTGATTCCATGCCTGTGAGAGCAACAGTGGGCCAGGGGTAGCCATGCACAACTAGAAGACTTTGTCAAAGTTCAAGAGAGAGTGACCCAAGACCTAGGGCAGAGCTTTGCGTGAGTCTAACCGGGCATATAAATAGCCTGAATGCCCAGCTCTGGGCTGGAACTCAGGCACTAGTTCCTGACCAGCTCAGCATAGCTTCTGAGGCTATATCTTGTTTCACTGTTCCTGTCTGGCCTAGGAACTGCATTGGGAAACAATTTGCCATGAATGAACTGAAGGTGGCTGTGGCCCTGACCCTGCTCCGTTTTGAGCTACTGCCAGACCCCACCAGGGTCCCCATCCCCATACCACAACTTGTGTTGAAGTCCAAAAATGGGATCCACGTGTATCTCAGGAAGGTCCACTAACCTTGGTGAGTCAACAACACGTTCTGAGGGTCTGCTGCCTACCATCCTGTCTTCAGGTCCCCAGGCCGTCTATTCATCTCCTGCTTTCTATCTTCTCATCTTCCTGCTGTCCTGCCTCCTTCCTATGTGTCCTTCTTTTTTTTCAAACTCCCTATTTGCTTGTCTGATACCTGTCTCCTTTCTGCTTGCATCTCTGTTTATCTAGGCCCTGATCACCTGCCTATCCTTCAGCCTACCTACCTCTCTACCTGTTCTTTCCTTTTCTGCTTGCTGATTTTAATCTGTATGAGTTCCTGCTGATGTTATAATCAACTACCACAACCTTTGTGATTTGAAGTAATGAAAATCTTTCTTATAGTTCTGGAGATCAGAAGTCAAAAATAGGTACAACTGGGGCTGGAGATTTAGCTCAGTGGCATACGCGTTTGCCTTGCAAGGGTGCGGTCATGAGTTCGAACCCCTGTACTGATTTTTTAAAAAAAAAAGGTATTACTAGGAGAAGATCTAGTTGTTAGTGTAGCCATCTTCTGCAGAGTTTTGGAGAAAATAATTTTAATTGCCCTTCCACTTTACAGATTCATTTCTTGTATTCCTTGGAACTAGTTCCTCTTTCTTTAAAGAATAATTTACCCATCTCAAAGTCTTTTACTTAATCAACCTTTCAACTTTCAGAGTTCTGTTTGCCATATGAGATAACATAATCCTGAGCTTCAAAGCTGAGGCATTGGACATCCTGGGAAAACATTATGCAGTCTGCCACTGTCCCTCCTGAACTGTCACCGGATTTCGCCTGCAAGGTGTCTATCTACCTGTATTTCTCTCACTCGAGCCTCTCCATCTCCGTCTTCCTTGCAATAAGGTTCCTAATGTCACATTGAGTGTCTTGGCCTCTTGTAAGACTATGGCAGGAAAAAAGAGATCGAAGGAAAGGAGACAAGTCCCTTCTGAGGAAGAAGAAAATGACATGTGGCCTGTGGTGCCAGAACTTCTTCTTGGCCTTATGGGAGCCCACCCTCTTTGAGTGGCCTCACACATGTGACTCCTCATGCCCCATACCAATCCAGCTGCTGAGGCTCCAGTAGCTGAGTTTAGACAAAGGTCTTTTCTCTGGGATCTCAGAGAAACTCACATCTGTCAAGGAAGGAGACAAAAGCCTCTATTATATTCAAGGACTAACGTTACTTGCCCTAGACTTTTCAGAAGCTCCAGCTAAAGCCCATCTGAGCAGGAAAGCCTTCCAACCTGATCTGGCATGAGAGCCTCAGGACCTTGCTATTCACAGATCCAATGAGATGTGAGAAGAGAACCCGGCCTGGCCGTGTCACCAAGTCACCTGTCAGCCTCCTTCACATATAGGACCTTAATACTCCTCAGGAGGCTCAGAGAATGGACAACTGTCAGTCAAGAGCTGGCAAGAGTCTCCTCATCTGACCGGAGGGGATGTCAGAACCCAAGCAGCTCGTCCTGCCCCATGAAGTCTCCCTGGCTGGCTACCCTGAAGGATGAGGGGCATCAACAACTCTGCCCACAGATGGAGGCTTCCTGGTTCCTGGTACTTCTGACCCTGGTCCTGCTCCCTACTTTCATCCCTCTAGGTACTACCACCAGATTCCCTTCTGTTCTTGCTTCTGTGAGTCTGCATTAAATAAGCCTCTGCTTGTTTTGCTGGTTCTGAGCACAGATTCCCCAGTTGCCTCAATAGCTGTAGATGCTATAGACAGAACTTCCTGCAGTCCTATCTGATGTCCCCAGCATGTTATGGTCTATATCTTCTCTCTAAGTTGAAACCTGCTGCCAAGACTTCTGTCCCATCCTTCTGGCCTCCTAAGTCACTGGGCTCATTTGGTCTTGCTCTGAAGAGGGGCAGGAGAGACCAGACTGGATTCTAAACCAAGAGGAAAGGGAGAGTTGGGAAAAAGAGTTATCTGGGAATATCACAAACAGCATGTCCAGCAGCAGGCCCAGCATCAGGAGGTGCAAAAAGTGGTGCAGGGCATGTTCAGAGCACACAGGACAATAGAAGCTCAGAATTCTGGATGACCAGCCATGAACATGTGGTGCAACTACAGGATTCCACGGGATAGAGAAGTGTGACTCAAAAGTGTCCTTGCTGCCTCCAAGCAATAGGCAAGACCCAGGTTGAGTTCCATTCATATACACAACCCCCTCAGACACATAAATAGACACATAAGCCACTCCTGTGTACACCCTTTGCAGACACCACACTACCGACACACACATGCACACACATTCATTTCTAGGGTCACAGGAGCCAGCAGTGTGTGTGTTTGAAGATCTAGAGGGGTTAAAGAGAACTCATCTGTGGCACCTATCACTCACAGCCTCCATCCTCTCTCCTCCAGGGAGCCTCTCTCCACTCTGATTCCAGAGCTTTCAGCTCTATTTTTCCATCAGCATCCATCCTCAGGAGACTGTCAGTACTAACCTTGGAATACAGTCAGTTCAAGCTCCTCCCAGATGAGTGTCTCACAGGCTCCTTCTGTTAATACTGAAATAGGATCACAGTCTACTCGCATCAGGGGATGTTGACCCTGCCCACACTTAATGACTGCATGGGTGCTGAAGGTCTGGAGAGACTTAGGAAATGGATACAGTTGTGCTCAGATGCCATCCCGGAGTATAAGATGGTTATGACCTCAAGGCTTAACTCCCACCTAGGTCTATATCTTCTATAAGGTGATCACTGCTGGAGGCATAGCTCCCATTCCACAAAATTGTGATGATTGTGATGATCATCTTCACTTGTACAGAGAGCAATCTATTGAGATACGGGAACACAGCAGGCTGTTGGTAGCATGAGGTGCAGAACAGACAGCCAAAAGTTATACCCTGGCTAGGTCCTCTGAATTATACTCAGTTGGGCAAGGAGATTTGGATCTTCAGCAGATAGCGTATGGCAGGTCAGCCTGAGTGAAACTTTCTTCTGAGAGTGAAAAAAGTAGTATCCTAAAGGATTTATCTGCCATGGTGCACCCTCAGAGCACCATCGAGACATCACCAAGTTCAAAATTGGAATTCTTCTCTCCTGTCCCTAACCCCAATCCTGAGTTTTATTCCTTCTATAACTTTGGTAATTCCTGGACTGCAGGCTCCTAGTGGCCTTACACCTTCAACCCCAGAAGTGTATGAGCTTACAACCGTCATGCAGTTGCTGCAGGAGCTGCCAGAAAAGACCTCTAAGTCATCATGTAACCCCATGCTTGAGGCTTTCCCCCAAAATTCTTTGTACCTTCCTACCTCACTCATGACTCAACACCTGATTCAAGGAAGGTTTTCTTTCTCCAGGAAGTCCCCCTCTAATGACACTCTGCCAAACTTCCCTGGCCTAACTGAATTCCCAGAGCATTACATGACTGAGACCTTAATGCTGAGAATGCAGGATGCCACAGAGAATCACCCAGCCAAGGAAGAAGCCCCACAAAACCATCCTGAATATTCTTTGACTTTGGCAATGGGAATTTGCTTTAGAATTACTCATTATTTTGTATAGTTTTGATTTAGATAATTTTTCTTCATTTTAATTATATTATACATACACAATTAAACATAAAAACACATCTCCATGAGGGGCAAACATGCGACCAGGTCATAATCATGAATCCACAGCAAAGCTTCTACTGTATTCACTATGTCACTAAGGCTGCAATGCGCATTTCTCCTACATTTTACAAAGACTGTTAATTATAGGAGATAAATGACACTTCTTGAGATGAGTCTGTACTCCCCAACTAAGTGAATGAATGAGATCTTGAATATATAGGTAACAAGTACTTGTAGACACTCAACATTTGAGTGGCATTGTCCTCCTGGAGGTTGTCTGTGCCAGTGCCTACTCCCCTCCCAAACAATAAGATTCCTGAAAGCAGAAAGCTACAACTATTCTACATTCATCTGGGAGGGCAATGCTCAGGGAGAAGGAAGAGCTTGGGCTGACTGGAGCTTTACTCTCTACAGAGTTACTTCCCAGACTCAGGGCGCAGTGACTTCAGGTGGAGGTGGATCCCATTCTTTGAACACAGAACCAGCTGGGACATCTTGATGGGCAGCTGTGAAGGGTCCAGGGAGAACTCAAAGCGAAGCAAACAGAGAGCTGTGACCACCTTAATCTCACTCATGGCAAAACATTGTCCGATGCAGTTCCTGCAGTGAGCAGTACAGAGAGGCAATGGGCTGTGAGATGTCCAAAGTGATGAACTTCAGTTCTCTTAGTGGCTAACAAAAAATCAGTAACTATTTTTGGATGTATAACTGCTTGATACACTGATTGACCTGGGCTTAAGAAAGAGATCTTGGGAACATAGCGAAAGCCTTAACAGAGTAGCTGCATGATGGGATTCTGGCTTGTGGTCTCTCTTGGAATGACTACCATCCACCCACTTCTCAGGGAAAAGAATATAATAGCAAGAAGAATATCCCAAAAGCTTTCCATGCATTTAAAAAGCTCAATACAGTCTCCTCATCACAGGATATCCCATAAGAATATCTCCCTAATGGCATCTCCCACCTTCTTTCTCAATTCTGGGGAACTGGGGATTCTGGACCTCTCCCTACCTGGGCCCAGCAGAGAAGGGTATGAAGGCAAAAGGATGGCGTCCAGATGCATTCTCAGGAGAAAAACGCAGAGGATCGAAGACCTAAGGACACAGGCTTTGCTTAAACACCCACCAAGTCCTGGCATGTGAGAATTCCCATAGCACCCACCCTGTCTGATCTCAGTGCACAAACAAGGTACCTCAGGGTCAGGCCACACTGCACTGTTCCTATGGAGGGCATAGATGTGCAGAGAGATCAGGCTGCCTGTGGAAGAAAGACTTGGTGACCAAATGTGCCTGAAGCAGCTAGTCTTGCCTCCACATAGGACCTGAATGCCCTAGTGTCTACCTAGTGACTAGCCCTGCCTCACCATTGCCAGTAACCTCAAGTTCTTGGCAATACTGTTCTTCAAAGTATTTTTATTATTACCCTGTCCAGTTCCTGTAGCACCAGCACAGAACACAACACCCACACAGACATCTATGGCATGAAAAAAGAAAAGGAAATACGAGCCCACCCTACCATAAAGTAGGACAGGCAGAAACCACTATAACCTTTCTGCTGTCCATTAAGTAACTCTCAAGAAGCTATTATTCATAACATTATGCTATCAATAGTAGTCACTACCATTTCATTAGGTAATTGCTCCATGTCAGGTATACTTCTAAACACTCTGTATGAAGCTACTATATACAATTTTACAAGTTGTATGCAGCCCTGCATTAACTTCAAATTATGCAAATCATGCCCTGAGGTTATCCAAGACACAACCTGAAAGTGCATAGTGCTATGGGGCAGCGTTGGTGAGCTGTGTCTCTTTCATCTTGACAACACCCTTGAAAGGGGGGTACTCTTCTTTTCCTCATTTTATAGATGAGGAAATGAAGATTTAGAGGCAGACAATTAACTTATGTGCTGTGGAGCTAGGATTTGTACCCAGGACTCTCCGAACACAAAGCCTAAGCTTGCCGAGTGTTAGGCAACGTTGCAGGAGGTGTCAAAGGAACATCCAGGAGCCCCTGAATCAACCCCCTAGCCCACCTCCTCCCACCTGCAGGTAGAGAGCGGCCATCCACAAAGTCAACAGGCTTGCTGAGCTGGCGGTACACCTGAGGCACAGGTGGGTAAAGGCGAAAGCACTCCTTGATACACATAGTCAGGTATGTCATCTTGCCCAGATCATCCCTGGCAGAAACACAAGACAGTTTGGAATGATGAGCAATGGGGTCCTGAGGAAAGATGAGACCCACCTCCAACTTCATACCTCACCATGTTGCCTTCCCCTCAGCACCAGCTTACATCCAGGAATTAGAGGAGCCCAAGGGCTACAAGTACCTGAGCCAGATTAGACAGAAGGTAGCCACTCAGACGCAGTGATCTGGCTTTACACCCCTCTATCCCATCCCCATCTTCACTGCGAGGAAGGAAAGGGACAGGACCCTAGATGTATGTGCACCCAACTATGAAAGACAAGGTCACTTCTGTGTCTCTCACTGCCACATGGAAACCACCATTAGGGACTGTTGAGGTCCTATTTAGCTTTTCTCTGTATGACAGTGAAAAGGCTCCATTTACAGGGAATGAGATAAAAGATATGTCCACATTCAGCACTCCAAAAGCTGAAGACCTGGAGGGAGCGGAATCCTCACCTTATTTCCAGGATGGTGCGGAGCTCCTTGGGTGGAGCAGGACAGGTCAGATACCTCTCAACCTCACTCACCACTTGAAGGAGTCCTGGTCCCCTAGGATCTCACGGGCCTCCTCCCTGCAACGCTGCTGGTGTTCCGGGTACAGAGCCATGCAGTAGAGAAACCAGGAGATGCCACTGGTAGTGGTGTCATGACCTTCGAGCATGAACGTGTCCACTTCAGCCCTGAGGTCTGCATCAGACAGCTTGATGCCACTTTCATCCTGGGTTAAGATATAACAGGCTCAAGGCTTTGAGGTAGGTTCCAAGAAGTTGGAAGAATAGCTATCAAAAGCAGGTCTGACAAGGTCAGTGAAACCTGCTTAGCAGACTGAGAAAAAAAGCCTTCTCCAGGGTCATATCTTTCTTCTAAGCCCACCTTGGATGCCTCCTACTCCATGATTCCCTCCTTGACCCCTCTGGCCAAATGACCTATGACCTTACCCAGCCCTGACTGTCAGTCCTACTGTCTTGTCACACAGATTGCCACCTACTAGAGGAAGGCATCTCGTCAACATTCACCAACTATAAGTTCCTTCCACTAGACTGTAAGACTCTGGAGGGCAAGGACAAAGTCTTTCCCATCTAAGCATCCTGACACAGGAACTGACTCAGTGAGTTTATGGAATGGAGGAATAAAGAACTGAATGAAGGAATGAATGAATGAAATCTAAGTTCTAAGATTCTACAATGTCAAGATTCTTGAGGATCTCAGAAGTCTAAAAATGTCTTCAGGTCACCACCATGTGACTCAGGCCCCCAGTTTCAAGATACGTAGTCTAACACCACATACCCTGCATCTTTGTGCCTTTAGTGATGTATGTTGAGGGGCAAGAAGCAAGTTGCTTTTGCTGGGGAAAGAGAGGAGTACTCAATGGTCTCTTCTCATTGGCAGCACTCTCTGCCCTCACAAGATGGTCTGAGGACCCTCTAGGGCTGTAGGTACTTGCCCGAGCACCCAGAAGAATGTCCAGGAGGTCCAGGTGTCTCCGGTGCTGGATCCTCTCCTGCTCCTTCTTATCTTGTAAGACTGCCTTCCGATTCCTGATGACATGATCTAGGCCGGGAGCACAGATATCACTCCCTGGGGACTGTCCCCAAAAGGGAGCTAAGGATCTACAATGGGCAAAATGCAGAGGGACCAAGAAGAAAAATGCAGACTTCCTATCAGTAGGCCCCACAGGAAGGTGCACCTGTATGGTCATGAGCTGCCTGGCAGGCCTGCAGGAAGCGACGGCCGTGGGGTGTGATCCAGTAGATGAAGTCATTGTGGTACTGGAAGGAGTCAATGCGCTGCTGCACCAGCAGTGTGAGGTCAGCCACTGTCTGGTAGTAGCTGCTATCCCTGTGTGGCAAGAGTGGAGTGAGAGACTGCTCAGACTCTCATCCAGGGGCGAAGCCCTGTGCAACCCTCTTCCAACCACCATGCGACCCCTGCCCCGCTTAAGCTCCCTCACTAAGGCACCTCTCCTCTGACCAGGACCATAAAGCTCTCCCCTCTGAGCTAGCTTGGGGA